AACCCTCTCCTGCTAGAAACTCTTGGATTGCAGAATGTTCTCAGCATTGAAAATACACAGCACCATTTTCTGAAAAACCCATGCAACCTCCACAATTGCAGGGAAGAGGGGATGAGGATGGTGCTTTATCCTATCTAATAATAGAGAAACATGGTAATTAACCGTAACTTCGCTACCCTTCCCATTGGCTAATCAGCACGATATGCAAATTAACCACCAACAAAGATGGCGGCTAATTTGCATAGATATGCTCCCAGTGGTGGAGTGAAGCCTGGTGATGACGCAGGCGTTCTGCCCCAACCCGCTGGTGGAGGGCCTCTGGGCCTGCTTGGTCAGCGCTGCCGCGGGGATGGAAGAGCAGAAACACAGCCCGCAGGGGGGCCGGCATCCAGCAGCCCCAAGCCCCGCCTCGGCACTGGGGTTGGGGGAGCAGAGACACAGCCCACAGTGGGGCCGGCACCCAGCAGCCCCAAGCCCCACCTCGGGGCTGGGGTTGGAGGAGCAGAGACACAGCCCACAGAGGGGCCAGCACCCAGCAGCCCCAAGCCCCACCTCGGGGCTAGGGTTGGAGGAGCAGAGACACAGCCCACAGGGGGGGCGGCACCCAGCAGCCCCAAGCCCCACCTCAGTGGCGGGGTTGGGGGAGCAGAGACACAGCCCGCAGTGGGGCCGGCACCCAGCAGCCCCAAGCCCCACCTCGGGGCTAGGGTTGGAGGAGCAGAGACACAGCCCACAGGGGGGGCGGCACCCAGCAGCCCCAAGCCCCACCTCGGGGCTAGGGTTGGAGGAGCAGAGACACAGCCCACAGGGGGGGCGGCACCCAGCAGCCCCAAGCCCCACCTCGGGGCTAGGGTTGGAGGAGCAGAGACACAGCCCACAGGGGGGGCGGCACCCAGCAGCCCCAAGCCCCACCTCGGGGCTAGGGTTGGAGGAGCAGAGACACAGCCCACAGGGGGGGCGGCACCCAGCAGCCCCAAGCCCCACCTCGGGGCTAGTGGCCAAGGAGGCTCTGGGGCCGCTGGGGCTGCTGGGGACGCTGGGGCCAGAGGAGCAGAGACACAAGCCTGCAGCTGGGCCGGGCACCCAGCAACCCCTAACCCCAAGGCCGCAGAGGCACTGGGGCCACTGGGGCTGCAGCAGAGACACAAACCGGCAGGAAACCTGTGGAAAGGGAGATAAACTATCATAACTTTATCTCCCTTTCCACAAGATGAGAAAACTGACCCTGATTTATTAGTGATATGGCCCACACCTTTCTACAAGCACAGGGTATGTTATGATCACTCCCAGGAAGTGATCAGAATACTGGTCAGAATACTGTTTCCAGGGAATAACGCTACTGTGGCAAATTATCTAAGAGAGGAAACAAGCTTTTGTTGGGTTTATTCTGAAGGTCAGAGAACAGACCACCCCAACATATGCCATGTTGTTATATTGACGATCTTGACCTGCAGATGCTTGAAAAACAGCAAATGCAAGGAGAGGTTTTCACTGAAGTCTCCTTCTCTGCCTAAAATCGGACCCCCCAAAAGGTTCCCTTGATGGGAAAAGTGCCATCAGCCAGTGAAGACTGACTCCTGTCACAGGACAGGAGACTAGAAGTTGACATCACATCCAAACTTTGTTACAAACTATCTCCCCCACCCCCATTCATCTTTCCTAAAAATCATGTACTCTCCTCTAAAAGGCCTACATCTCCCGTCCCCTTTCCCTAGAAAGAAGGTATTTAAATCTGGATTCTAAGCCAC